GGGCCTGTTCATCACGCTTCCTGTTTGGATTTGCAGTTCCCTTCCACCCTGAATAGCCAGGCCTGGCCCACACTCCCCTGTGCACACCTGGACAAGGTAAAGTTCCCTTCGGAGATAGCTGAGGTACAGTTGTCATTTTTATTTTTGCTATTGTTGGCAGTGGTGCTTTCATCTGCTCAGAGCAATTTCTCTCTCTCTGCTGTTCCCGGAAGCTTGTTTAGGATATATTTCCTGTCAAAGAAATTTTATTTAATGACTCTCATAGTATGAAGAAATCTGACATTCGGGAAATCTGGGCGGGGGAGGGTGGTGCTCAGAAGAGCAGAGGCCCAGAAGGCAGCTGCCTGGGGAGCTGCCCTTTCCCATTTGTGTGTTCAAGAGGGAGCAGCTGCCGGCTTGTCAGACCCGTGAGGAGCCGTGGTGCCAGCCTGCCTGTCCCTCACTGCATGGATGGCCCGGGCGGCCTCACTGTGGCAGAAATATCGGGCTCTGGGGGCTGCTGCCTAGAGGCGCTGGCAGTTTCCCAATGATGAAACAGTTCTAGCTTGTGTTTTGGCAAAGCTCAAAAGTCGACCTTGGGCTTCAATAATGGGATTATACAAAATACTGCCTTAGCACAGCTTTCTATCATCTGTCTTTGTGCAAATAAGCTGATTAATTTGAGACGTAGGTGAAAAATTGCCTCATGGACTTTTTCAAGGGCACCAGGTGACCACTTCAAAGGAGAGGCCGGAGGTTCTGTCCTCCAAACCTATTTTTAGGGTTCAAGAACTGAGAGGAAATAGCCAGTGAAGACAAAAGCCCCTCCTTTTATGTAAAGGCTACCAAAGGGGTGGCTGCTTGAGGGGAGCTGGTGTCGCATGTCGTCATCCTGCCTCAGGACAGCCTGAGCTGGGCCAGCTGTGGCACTCGCTCGGTCCTGTGTCCAGGCATCCGTCAGAACCGCGCTCAGCACGGCCTTTCCGCTGTCAGGACCTTTGCACGTGTAGCTTGCATGTTGCCTCTGGCACTGTTCTTTGGTCACCTATCCCTAAATGGTTCACTTAGATGAAAGGGACCAGTGTGAGGGAAAGAAAAGGAAGGCATGAATAGATACTGTCTCTGCGGTAGGTGGGAAGATGAGAGTTCCTGACAGCTGACACTTGCATAGAAATATTTTGTTCGCTGGTTCCTGACAGTTCACCTCCCCCGGGAGGTGGTGCTGCTTCTGACCTGAGAGTGCAGCAGGGAGACCTGCTGGTCCCCTGGGCCTTGGCAGCCACAGATGGGGTCACCGCTGTGTGCCGACGTGGCCATGGGAGAGCAGTTCTCACGTCTGGGGTGCTGCTGAGAGAGAGAACAGACGGAACTCTCCATTTTTCTTTTCTTCATTGTTTTATATACTTTTCACTATTTTTCTGTTCTAGATGAAGCCTAGTGCCTCCCTCTGCTCTGCTTATTACATTGGGTGTAATGTCAATTTCCAATAAAAATGATACGATCAAACCAGACTTCATCTTATTTTCCTAAAAAAAAAGTTATTATCCTATTTTTGAATTGGTAGAGCAGCATGAATCCCAGGATATAAATGTTGATCATTATGACTTTCAATCAGTCTAAATGAATGCCTTTTGAGTTACTTTTTAGTATTATGTAATCTTATGTATTGATCTAGTACACAGAGGTCAACTGACCACATGTTGAATTTAGTAGGAATTGACTGACTGGGGAATTAGTGGTGTCTGAAAAACAAACCTAGGGCTTTCTGTCCCAGGCCAGCATTTCTTAGCTAATAATAATAGCACTGACTGCTATGTATTGATCTTAATCGGGGTCTTGGCTACCCATTTTTCATGCAGCATCACACGCAGTCTGTACAGCAGCCCCATGAAATAGGTACCATTATCGTCACCGTTTTCCTAGTGGGAAGACTAAAGCTCAGGTCATTCTTTTTTCATGGCTCTAGAGCAGAGGTTGAGAAACATTTTCTATAAAATACCAGAAAGTAAATATTTTAGGCTTTTGGGACCATATCATCTCTGTCACAGCCACTCAACCCTGCCATTGTAATTCTCAGAAGCCATAACACATACAAAAACAGTGGGTGGCTGCATTCCAATCAAACTTGATTTATGGACACTGATAGTTAATATAATTTCCTTTTTGTAATTTTTAAAATTTTTAATTATTATGGGTACATAATAGTTGTATATCTTTATATAGGGTACATGTGATGTTTTGATACAGACATACAATGTGAATTAATCAAATCTGGGTAATTGGAGTATCCACCACCTCAGGCATTTAAAATTTCTTTGTGTTGGGAACATTCCAATTCCACTCTTTCAGTTATTTTAAACTATACCCTAACTTATTGTTGATTACAGTCACTTTGTTGTGCTACCAAATATTGTTCATTCTATCTAACTGTATTTTTGTTCCCATTAATCATTCCATTTTATCCCCATCCCCACCTCCCACTACTCTTCCCAGCCTCTGATAACCATCATTCTACTCTCTGTCTCCATGAGATCAATTGTTCTTAATATTTAGCTCCCACATATGAGTGAGATAAGTGAGATTTGTCTTTCTGTGCTTGGCTTATTTCACTTAACATAACGTTCTCAAGTTCTATCCATGTTGTAAATGGCAGGATTTTAACCTTTTTTGTGGCTTCATATAGTTTTCTTGTGTCATGAAATATTATTATCCTTTTGATTTTTTTCAACCATTTAAACATTTCAGAAAACATTTTTCCCTTGCAGGCTGTAGAAGCACACAGGTGGTGGGCCGGGTCTGTTGGCCGCTGGTCTAGATGAGGGGAAGCAGGGCAGGGGTGGGGTCAGGAAAGGTGGTAGGAAGAACACTCATGCCAGAAGGAGCGGACTGCATGCAGGTGGCAGAGAGCACAAAATACTGGAGGAACTGTAATAAATGCGTTACAGTTTGATAGGGTATGAGGCAGAACGGCTCAAGTAAGAGGAGACAGTGGGGCCCAAGTCATGACCTTGGGGGACATTCTAAGGATTTGGGACTTTGTCCTTATGGCAGTGGGAGACCATTAAAAGTGTTAAGCAAAGGAGTGACAAGTGCAATTTGTCTTTTGGAAAGATCACTGGCTGATGAGTAGAGAATGGATCCCAGGGATTAATAAAAGTGAAAGCAGAAAAACCAGTTAGGAAGCCTGAGAAGTGGGCCAGGTAGGTGAGGATGGTGTTCATTAGTGGCCAAAGCCAGAACTGTTTCCTGACAACGGTGTTCTCAGGCCGTCGTGACGATCAGTTTTGCAGACGGGGGAAATGTGTTTGGGAGAGACATGTCTTGCCTGGCAATATCACAAATGGAAGTAGAACAGAGATTAAGACCTGCTCTTCCAACTTCAAATCCACCGCCTTTTCCTGTGTGATGTGAAATTCTTAACATTCTCACCTGGAAGCTGTGTTTATCCTAGTCTACCTTTTATCTCTGTGCCCTGCAACTGAAGAGCTACTCCTCTCCTTCTCTCTCACAAGTGCTCATAAACGAGGCCAGTGCTTCTTAGGTAGGAGTTCTTAATTTTTCATTTCCTGAGGAAATTTATTTCATCGTCGAGGGAAATAATCTCTTGTTCAAATGATAAAAAGGCCAAAGACGGTACCGCGGTAATGGTTTTATTATTTTTATGCCGGCGTTAGAAAGGTAACTGAATGCTTACTTACAGTAAAGGTCAGCTTTTCTTATAATTTGTGGAGCTTTCTTTCCCAAATGAGAATTAGAACATTCTTTTCTACCTTTGAAAAAAAAAAAAAAAGAAGACTTGTCTGGCTGGGCCCTCAGCGTCACACCCCAGTTTCTGACACTGACACTCATCTCTGGGTCAGAGGAACCCGTCCTTTGAACAGTGTGATGACGTGGGGTTGGAGTCTCTCTCTCTCGATCGGGGTCTGTGTCTGGGTTTGGGGACGAAGGGATGAGGGAAAGGTGAGACTCGTGCCTTGGGGCAGATGGATGGCAGTGATTTTCCTTCAGCTTCCGGAGTTTGTGCCTAGGGTGTGCCGGGTGATTCTTCTGTGGTGGCTGGGAAGAGGGAACTTCAGAGAGCTCCTGGGGCCCAGTGGTAGTGCCTGCTCAGCTAAGCTTGGTTTCAGCTGAGATTTCATTAGATTTCGCCTCCTATTATTGTTATTCTCAATTTGTCCCCCTTTCCCATGCTGAGGGAAGGTCTGTGGGTGCGGTCTGTGTCTGTCTGCACAGCCACGGAGCACAGCACCTGCCACGCAGCAGATGCCGAAATTCAGTATTCAGCCCGACACGGCGCACGGACTCGTCACCTTTGGTATCCGAGCTGCACAGTGCAGCATCTTCTCCCAAAGCAGTCAGAATTTTCTAGTCTAAGGTAGTCATGGTTAACAAAGAAGGTATTTGGGAAGCCTGACAATATGACAAATTTTAGGAGTAAGCAGTGGGTAGATCGTGGACTTCTATAAACTATGGTCTCTATTGAATTGAATTGATTGTGGTCTTTTCCCATTATGCACTTTCTTGTCCACTTCACTTTTGTCAACACACGTGGGTTGCACATCTTCATGGCTGCATAGTAGGTACACAGTGATACATACTGAGCTGGTTCATTCCTGATACTATGGTGTTTATTTTCTGTAGGCTCTTTACCTACTCATGCAGGTATAGGTGGTGAGGCTGAAGTCATAAGCTCAGAGATTTTGACATACTCTCTCCCTTTTTTCCTTCTTTCCTTTATCAGTTATTGAAAGTTGGTTATGTGCCAGGCTTGGGTTAAGTTCACAAAAAAACATGTGTCTGACATCAATTGTATTCCCGTCTAGTGGAGAGACAAGAGAAATATTGGCCACGTGGTATGAGGTGTGGGCAGCTGTGGAGAACCTGTCCTGGCCCCGTGGGTGGGACCTCCTTGAGGCCTTTGTCACTGAACTCCCGAGTGTGGTCAGCAGTGATTAGGGTGTCTGTGCAGTTGTGGGTGAATTAACAGGTTCTGCACTTGTCCTTTCTCCATTTGTGCGGGTGGAGATGTCTGCCCAGAGTTAATTTCTAACAGAACCTCCCAGCAATCTGCATCTAATTCTGATTACACCTGGGAATCATGAGTATTACGAGATCGGACAGTTTCCTTGAAGGACTGAAGGCTCATAAATGTAAGTCTTCCCCATTGTGAGCATGATATGTATTTGTCAACCTGTGAATCCCCAGTGATGAGTTCTCTGGAATAATCTGTCTTCTTACAGAACTCTGTCCTCTACCTCCAACCTCCCACAAAATGTCCTCTCCACACATAGGCTCAAGTTTGGTATTCCATGAGGGCCCTGATGGTTCCGATTGATGAACTTAAAAGATTCCCTTCTATCTGGGGAGCATGAATTAATGTCAAGCTCAGATTGAAACTTTTTAAAAAGCTTTAACCATTCCATCCCCCTCCCCCCAAACTGTTAATGTTTGAACTGTCGAAAATGTGTACCAAAATAGAATCCGGGACTATTATTTGAAGAATCTTCTTCTGTAACACCCAGTGAACAGCATCCTTTCTTCCCGAGTGGTCTTTAGAGCTGTGGAGGGCAGTCTATCAGCGTGTGTTCATCCTGACAGAGAGAATAGCCTGCGCTCATTCCTAACTCCAAATTATAGGCAGGAATTGGGTTTCGTGTTATTGGAGTGATTAATGACCCAGGACATGTAATTCTGTGAAAGGATATACTCTTCAACTGCAGTCATAACTGAATGCTGGCCAGGCATTCAGTGTGAAGCATCCTTGTTTCACGAAGTAGAGTTGACATCGTAGGCAGGGACTGCTGCCTGGTTCCAGGGCCTGTCATGGTTACCCCATAAACAGCTCTGAAATGTTTGCTAGTTTCAGAGGGAATAGCCATAGCACTCTAAAATTTTCAGGTTTGTAACTGGTCCAGATTAGTGAGACACATCAGGAAACATAAGAGAGATTAGAATCAGAGATGCAAATGTAGCCAAGGAAATGCTTTGGTCCCTTTAATTGTTTCCTGGCTGCTTCTGCTCTGACCTGTCTTGGTATGTACGATCCCTGGTGCCCAATTGGTGCTCCCATGCAAGGAGAGCTTTCTATTTTTGTTCCTTAAGCAAAAATCATTAACTAAACCACATATCCTTTACTCCTCAAGTGAATAGTAATAATTAAATGCTTTCCCTCAATCCTTTATTGACATCTGTTCAGTATTTCTTTGGGGGGGGGCAGCACACAGAATCCATTAGGGCATGCTGTCATTGATTATCCGATAGAAGGCTGTTACAGTCTGGGTGTGAAGTCACCCTCCTTAATTTACTTAAATTCTTTAATCTGTTATTTTTCTGGTATAACCTTTATGTAGGGACACTTACTTGTTATAAATAATAATGGAAATCAAAACGACTGGGAAAATTGCCATATATTTCCCTGTAATGTAGGCTGTCACCGCTTGGTGACATCAACTTTATTTTTGTGTCACTTTGCTCCTGTCTCTTTTCCTTAGTCTAAGGGCACAGAAGACAGGCCTGCTGCTATAATTTTTGTTGATACATTTCCAGAAACAGCTAAGGAAAATCTCTTTTGAGCATATTACATTTTAGAAATGATTATAGCTGGAAAAATGTCCTGCAAAACGTAGGCAGAGGTGTGACACATTACATGCTTATTTTACCTATTATACCATTAATAAGGATTGCTTTATTAGTTTTAATATTTACATCAAGGAAGAAACAAAAAGGCCCAATCCTTGGATACTTACTGTTCTGATATAAAAGATCTGATTAAAGTAGAGGCCCTTAGTTTCAGGAGCCTGACATTACATGAGATATATAGAGTACCAAAACCAAAACAAAAAACCAAAAACTTCCAGATATACATGAAAATGAAAAATTTAAGTCAACTATGGTAATTATTGGTACAATAAGACTGTGTGATTCTGACTCTTGTTTTGATGAGCAAAATAGGAAGCCAATTAAGTATAGGTTCAAAAGAACAGAGGCAGGACATTTCAAGGGGAAGTGCTTAGTGAGGATAGGAATGACCATAAAAGTTACCTGTGATGGATCTTTAGTTAGACTAAGGTCCTCTGCCTGCTGAAATTAAGATTCCTACCTTCAAAGGGTCTTTCATCTGAGAAGCAGCCTCTGATGGTCATCACAAATTCTCCTTTGGCCCTAAGTTTTGAATCCAGAATGAAGCCTTATGATATGTCAAAAAATGGATATACAAGGGCTATCTGGAAAGTATCCAGCTAAGGAATATGTTCTCATGGTATTAACAATGGCTGGCTATTTTCTGGACAGCCCTTGTATATCTGACATACATTTGGCATAAGCAGAGTGGAAATTTATTTATTCATTCATGCAGCATGTATTTATTGAGCACCTGTTATATACAGCACTGTTTTAAGCACTGGAGACAAAACAATGAACAGAAAAGACAAAAATATTTCCTCCTATGGAGCTTGCATTCTAGTGGGAGAGATAGACAATGAATACATTAAATTAACTATGTCAGATGGCAATGAAAAAAGATGAATAGAGTAGGGAGAGGGGATGTGGAGTGTGGAGGTGAAGTATAGAGAGAGTGGCCATGAGAACGCCTTACTGAGGAGGGATTTGAGAAAAGATCTGAGGAAGAGAGATAGCTGTAAATATCTGGGGGAAGAGCATTCTAGGACAGGCTCCATGGCAGGAATGGACTGGACCATGCAAGGAACAACAGGGAGGCCAGCACAGCACTGGCAGAGTGAGAAAAGGCAGAGCAGCAGGAGACAAAGTCAGAGAAGTTATGGGGACCAGGGCATGGAGGTCCTGAGAGGTCATGCTAAGGGCTTTGGCTTTTTACTCTGGGAAGTCATTTGAGGGTTTGGAGCACAGGAGTGGCATCTGACTTAAGTTTTAACAGGATCCCACTGCAGCTGGGGCATGAAAAAGGGGTGAGACTGGAAGCAGAGACAGTCAGGAGGCTATTGCCACAGTCCAGGCAGCTGATGGTGGTGGCTTGGATGGGAGGTGGTGGGAGGCAGTGAGTGGTGAGAAGTGCATAAACTCTGGATATTCCTAAAAGACAGATATGAGAAGATTTGTCAATGGGTTGGCAATGGGATGAAAGAGAAAGAGTCAAGGATGATTTGAACATTTGCGACCTGAGTAACTAGAAGGATGGAATTGCCTTTAACTGAGATGGGGAAGAGTCTGGGAGAGGAGGTTTCAGAGAGGAACCTCAGGAGCTCAGATTTGGACCTGCCACTGGAGACACCAATCAGACATCCAAGAGGGCCTGGGAGGGGAGGAGGGAGGGGCAGTGTAAATTTGAGAGTCATCAGCACATGAATGGTATGTGTTCAAAGCCAAGAGGGTGGGTAAGTGAATGTAGATAGAAGACTGAAGAGTCCCGGAGCTGAGCCCTGGGCACACTTGCATTTAGAAGTTGGAGGGCTGAGTAGGAAGCAGCAAAGAAGCCTAAGAGGAATGTACAGAAAGTAGGAAGAAAACTGGGCAATTGTGGTTTTCTGGAAGCCAACTGGAAAAGGCTTCACAGATGGTCTGTGTCACATGCTACTAGGTCAACTTAGTTGAGGATGTCACCATTGGATTTATAATGTAGAAGTTACTGGAAATGGTCTTATAAACAATGTTAGTGGAGTGGCCGGGTGAAAGGCTGATGGAATCAGTTCATGAAAAAACTAGAAGAGAGGGATTGGAGGTACAGGCAGATCCCTCAAGAGTTTTTCTATAAAGAGAAGGAGTGATATGGGTCCCTTATGAAAGGGCGTGGCTGGGTGACAGGACTACTCTGGCTGCTGTGTTAAGAAAAGACTGAAGGAGCATCCTCTGATTCTGAGCCATCAGTGGTGGCCAGATCCCATGATTTTTTAATAGGCTAACTTGCAGATAATACCAGACACATGCATGGGTGAGTCGGTAAGAAGCTGCAGCATCAGGATGAGAAGCAGAGCTAGAGCTTGCACGGGCATGGAGTAAGTGTCATCAGGAGCACAGTAGAGACAAGTGTGGGGACATCACCGTTGGCTCCTTGCCAGGAATTGATACCATAAAACTGACCCTACTGCCTTAGGAACGGGAGTGGTATGAGAACACGGCTGCTTTGGGGTCCTGAAATCTCCCTTTCAAATAAAGTATTAACTCTTGTTTTTTCTATAGCTATGAAATGGAAAGGTCTCAATTTATCCTTAGGAGGTGGAGAGGAGGGGGACTGGGATGGGGTCATTGCTCTAGTCCTAACTCTAGAGTGGAAAAGAAAAAGGTCATGTCCACTTTCAGCTCCCTTGTTCCCTTCCATTCATTACAGGTCAGGGTAAGGGGAGTTATTTTATTATGACACATTCCATTTGGAATCTCCCTGGGCAATTTGTCCTACCCCCCTCGTAGTCTCCAAGTAGCTCACTGTGTGGACAGGACCACGTGTGGCTGCTTGGCTGCGGTAGGAACCCCTTTGGAACACTTTGCTCATGAGAACACCTTCCTGGTGAACAGATTGGAAAAATGTCACTCCACATGACTAAATTCTAAATCAAGGCCTTGAGTATTGACGTGTAATTTTAGGATTTGCTTTTGCTGTGCAGGCAGTTGATAAAGTACAGTATGTGGAACTGTTATTTATCTGTGTAGTGTTTCTTCACAGCCCATGCCCAGAGAATTGATATTTTATTGTTCCATGTTAGTTGCACTTGAGTACATGTGTTTTCGAGTACTTGTCCTTATGTCTTTTTTTATGCCTCATTTCCACGATATTAAAAGGCAACATCTACAATTTCTGTTTCTTGGGCACTTAAGGTTAAGAACCTAGGGAAGGCACATTAGTTTTACAGAGTGCTAAATAAAACGTTGCTAACCTCTAGGCAATAGTATATGCAGGGTGGAAGTACCAATTATGCAGAGTAGATTGTTTCTTTTACAGTAGATCTGGTTTCTTCATTTCAGAAATATATATATATACACACACACACACATATATATAACTTAATTAGAATAATGTTTTGCATTTAAACATATTTAATGTGTCAGCTCCAATTGTTTATTTTTGGAAAATTGCTGGGCATCCTCACTATATGCCCACATAAGTAAATGTCTTAGTATAGATCAGAAAATGTAGAACGATTTAACTCTGCTGCCCCCAAGATTTGAGCCCTTGCTGCGCATGCGCCAGGTTCTGTAGGCGATCTCCTCTAATCCCTGTCCCAGAGATATACATTTGCAGCTGTTAGCCAGGATAGGACCACAGAGGAGCCTGCAGGACTCAAAATGTCTTGGAGTTCAAAGGAGCGGGAGAGCCATCAGTCAGGGAAGTTCCGTGAGGCTTTGGGAAGGAGATGGTGTGAAAGATGGCTAGACATCTATTAGCTCCAAGCTGGGAAAAGTTTTTCTAGCCAGGTAGAGGTAAGGGCCTCTGTAAAGGTGTGGGTGTGAGCACGAGCAAGCTGTGGCTGAGAGTTAAGGTAAATACAGGAGCACACTGGCCCCTAGTTTGATTGGAAACACATGGGTTTTAAAGTGAGGTAAAGTGGGAGGAAAATCATAATTCTAATGACAATAGCTGGCACCTGGGAGCACTTTACATGGAAACTCTTAATTTGGAAAAGCAGGACAGGTCTATATTTCTTAGAGAGTTTTTTGTGAAAGAGCTGTATCGCCAGAGCCGTGGTAAAGCAGGTGTGTACAGAGACAAAGCACAGGGAGGAGCAGAAGGCAGAGAGAGTGCTCAGGAGGCTGCTTGTATGTTCTCTGCAAGAAGTGAAGAGGGCCCAGATTATTCCATTGTGAATTTAGGCAAAAATGCAAAGTTGCGTTGCTAACTAGATTGGGTTGATAAACTAAAATTTGGCCTGAGAAGGCCTCTGTACTTCCATACTTCAGTTCTTACCTACAAACCACAACTTAACTTAGTAGGTAAGTCATGCAAACTTAACTTAGGAGACTGCTTCTGCAACAATTGTTGAGTCTCGGCCAGTCACAGCAGCCAGACTTCAGCCACTCACAGGCGGCCAGCTGTTCAAATCACGTTCAATACGGCAAACCCCAGCTATAACCAGTCCGGCTGCTTGTGTACCACACTTCTGATTTCTGTATGTCACTTACTTTTTTCTGTCCATACATCTTAAGTGACCATGAGGCAGCCATGGAGTTTCTCTGAATCTGTTCTGATTCTAGGTACTGCTTGATTTGAGAATCATTTTTTTTTCTTTTTTCTTACCCAGTGAGTCTCTGTTAAATTTAATTTGTCTAAAGTTTCTCTTTTAACATTTGGAATCAGAATTCATTTTTAGCTTCAGATGGCAGTCTCTGGTAAAAATTGGATTTTCTAATGCAAGACACTTGAGTGGAATCTTGAGGACCTAGATGACCTGACATTCTGTGCCAGCTTCCTTCGTTAGGACATGGAAACCAAGAGTCAGTGAGGCCCACATCACTTCCTGTTATCTGAGACAGAAACCTGGAGGACACTTGGAGACCCTTCCCTCTCCCTCATTCTCCCCTGTCCCATTCGTTCCAGCCAACTGGGGATCAGACAGTTGATTTCCTCTCATACCAATGTCTCTCCAAAAAGCTCTGATTCCTTGAAGGTTCAAGTTTTAATCTGCTGTGAAATACTAATCCTGGCATCAACTGTCTTGCAGATTCCATTGTGATTGGATTCTGGGTTGGTCTCGCTGTCTTCGTGATCTTTATGTTTTTTGTGCTGACCTTGCTGACCAAGACAGGAGCCCCACACCAAGAGTAAGTCTGGCTGTTCCTGTTCCTGGGTCTGTTAAGCCCCACATGGAGCTGAGGACTCAGAAGCTCCTGCCCAGGGCTGGGGCTGCTTCCGGTGGTGGAGAGAAGGGGCTGGTTGTGGGTTTGCTGCCCAGACCCGGGTGCCTGTGGGCGGAATCCCACTTTCCCCCTGGCTTTTTGCCTTTTGCTTCTGGGGCTTATTTTCAATTTGACTCTTATAAAATTGGATTTCTTGGTCCTTTCCTGCAGTTTAAATGCTGATCCAGGCCTGATTTTTATGTTGTAGTATATATTAATTAGGACTTATTTTCTCTTATTCCCAAAAGGATTTAGATTATGCACCAGATTAAAAACAGTGGAAAAGACAATGGCAAAAATGGGATGAAAACTAGTTTTAAAAAATATTTTGAGAAGCAGAGACATAATTGTTACTGGACACTTAGCTAAATTAATTAGCGACAATGATGAATGAGTTCAACACTGAGTTTTCTTGAAACTAGGATAAAAGGGAAACACTGTGGATTAGATAATTCTCATAACATGGCAAAGAATATTAGTGTTGGGCTTTGGATTTCTGGAGGAAATTACTACATGAGTGCTTAACACATTGATTGCCACACTAGGAAAAAAACATTTTTCCCTGGGGCCACAGTGTTTTATTAAAACAAAACAATCCTTTCTAAGTTGCTATTTTTTATTGTTTTCCGTGTGTGAGTTATATGCAACACAATCTATGTTTTTAGAATTAAATTGTCAATATTAACTGTAACAATAAGAACATCAACAAGTAAGATTTTCATGAACCAACTGCAGGATTTTGCTTCACACAGCCCTAGGTTCAAAGCTAGGCTGAGTTAAATGCAACTCACATGACAGTCAATGTGTCAAAGAACATTGAGTAACATCAGCATTTGTTCAGTTATGGTTTGTAAAAAAATTCAGAAATGTCTTAGAGGATATATATATATATATATATATACACACATATTTATATTTATATTATACCAACTCTTCAACAAAAGGAAAAATAGAGTATGCTGAATACCTTGTTACTTGGCCCCAGCAGGCAACAAAAACCACATTCATACTGCTAATTGAAAGAGCGTTTGGTAAAGGGGCTATTTACAAGTCATGGGCAGGGAAGAGTGCAGGACCCCAGGGCTAGCAACACTGAGGTGCAGTTACCACCCTAGATCTCAAGGAGGGGCGGTCACTGGAACCCAGGAGTTAGCTGAGAGGGGCCGTGACCTTGGGTGGAGGGACACAACCAGTCCAGTGTGGCCTCCTAAGGAAAAAACCCCAAAAAAAAAAAACCCAACCCTCCCCCCCCTTCCCATCTCTCCCCTTTGCTCCCCACGGCTGAACTTGAACCCAACCTGCAGCCAGACGCCCCATCCAAGGCCAGTTTCCCAGAGCACAGAGCAGGATGGGGAGGGGGCAGAGCCAGGAGAGCAAACAGAAGAGACCCTAGCAGTTTTACACTCCGTATCTCGCTTACCCTGGCAGCCTGGCCCAGCACTCCCTGATCGTCTCCTCACACAGTCTCCAGTGTCTGCTGTTCATTCTGCAGCCTGCGCTTGAACTGTAACAAATGCCTGGGCAGAGGGGACAGTCCTGTTCTTCACGCAGCTATTTCCAGACATCGGGGGCTGGAAAAAAGTCTTAAACACAAACATTTTAAATGAAAGGAAAGTATCGTTTTATTGAAGCACATGGAGACACACAGCTGAGAGTCTCTTTAACAGCCACTAAAAAGACATGAACTTTCCCTTTTCTCTCTTCCTGTCCTCATAAACATGCACATGTCTCTGCTTCTATTATGTTGGTCCAGGGCATTTGGAAATATGGTGTGGATTGCAAGAGTAGTAAGAAGAGCTGAGAATAAACCCAGATTAGGGCACATTTCAGAGTGGTCAGGGAATAATAATACTCTGTTATTTTCCTTTTCCTCAGAGGGACAGATGGGTTTTGCAGGGTTTTGAGATGGATGTATGAGAAGGCAGGTGATGTTACGGATGGGAACACTTGAGCACAAAATAGAATGTGACTTCCTGTGATGGCTAATTTTGTGCATCTATCTATCAAACTAGGCCATGGTACCCATGTATGGGGTCGAACATCATTCTAGATGTTTCTATGAAGGTATTTTTTAGATAAGGTTAACATTTAAATCACTATGTTAGAACCGGAATTTGCAGGGCCGCTGGACAGAGAGACAGAGTCACCGAGGCTGTAATTATCAAAAAGGAGTTTTATTGTCTAGCTTGAGCTAGGGTCCAAGCCCAAGAGCGCCAGCACAGTGGCCTCTTCTTCGGGCAGGGACCCCCCCCCCAAGACTTTATACCTAAGCTGTTTACGCGATGATCATGCATCTGCCCTCCACAGCGATTGGTGGGTTCATGCTGATCACGCATCTGCCTAGCCTCTTACTTTATCCTGCCCCTGATAGGCTCTAACCTATTCTGGGTCCTGGCCAAGAGGCTCCAGTTTCAGCGTTTGTTTTTTTTTTTTCTGCATCCTATAATGCACCCATAATGCCCTGCGGTTAGCAAACAAGCAGTAAACAGAACTAAAAAGCGGCCGTTAGCCTAGTAGCCCAATATTTTACAACTATACTTTGAGTTAAGCAGATGACCCTCCACAGTGTAAGTGGGCCTCATCTAATTCAGTGGAAGGCTTTCAGAGACCAAAGACTGACCTCCCCAAGCAAAAAGGAATTCTGCCAGCAGCTGCCTTTGCCCTGAAACTGCACTCTTTCCTGCATCTCTAGCTTGCTGGCCTGCTCTATAGATTTTGGACCTGCCAGCCTCCAAAATTGAGTAAGCCAATTCCTTAAAATAAATCTCTCTCTTCACACACACACACACACACACACACACACACACACACACGTCACGTTGGTTGTTTTTCTCTGGAGAACCCTGACTACTCCACCTCCACGAGGTGTCATGGTGACCCTGGGTAGCCATGGCTTGCGTTTCTAGCCTTCTAGTTGTCAGCTCACTCCTGTCGCTAGAGGATCTTTCTTCTTGATGCAGTTCTGAACAATGCTCAATCACAGAACAGGGGCCACTGTCACCCTGTATGCTTCTATCAAGATTAAGGAGAAACTCTGAATTTTTTCTTTTTAATAAAATAATGGATCAGCCTTCAGTCCCACATTTTAAATGCCCAGTCTTAGGCAGTGTAAAACATGGCATTTGGTTGCAATATATCATAGAAAACTGAAAGAATCAGACATGGAAAAACCTTCAAATAAATCCATTGAAAAGAGGTTTAGATCTTAGCAAGCTGGACATTTGTTTGGCAGGAATTTTCTCCTAAAGTGCACATTGTTTTTTCCATATAGCTAAATTTAATAGAAAACAACCAATTTTAAGTTCGTGATACACAGGAGTCGGGGGAGAGAATTATTCTTCATGATTGAGAAGAAGAATAGCCGTTTTGTGAGTGTTTACAACTGTGCCAGTGTCACTTTGTAGGTATATTCTCACGATGTTCTCACAGGAGGATGAAGTAAGTTCCATAAGTGTTCCCACTTTACAGATGAGAAAAGTGAGACTGAGTCACTTGTCTGCAGTCCCATGGGTTGAAAAAACTATAGAGCTGGACCTCAAACTAAAGCCTCTTTGGCACTGAAATTCTCATCGTTAACCACCACTATGCTAAACTATTTCAGATTGGCAATTTTTAATCTCTTCCTTCTGTTAAACCAAAGATGTTAGTAAGTAGTCATATTTATTTTCTTTTGTCACATGCTGGGCCAACCATGGACTCTGGAGTCAAACATTTTCAGGTTTACTTATCAAGACTTTGGGCTGAATTCTTATTTATTTATTTATTTATTTCAGCATATTATAGGGGTATAAATGTTAAGGTTATGTATATTGCCCTTGCCCCCCCTCAAGTCAGAGCTTCAAGTGTGTCCATCCCTCAAATGGTGCGCATTGCACTCATTGTGTATGTATATACCTATCCCCTCCTCGCCACCCCCACCTGCCCGACACCCGATAAATGTTATTCCTGCCGGGCGCGGTGGCTCACGCCTGTAATCCTAGCACTCTGGGAGGCCGAGGCAGGCGGATTGCTCAAGGTCAGGAGTTCGAAACCAGCCTGAGCAAGAGCGAGACCTTGTCTCTACTATAAATAAAAAAGAAATTAATTGGCCAACTAATATACATAGAAAAAATTAGCCGGGCATGGTGGTGCATGCCTGTAGTCCCAGCAACTCAGGAGGCTGAGGCAGGAGGATCACTTGAGCCCAGGAGTTTGAGGTTGCTTTGAGCTATGCTGACGCCATGGCACTCACTCTAGCCAGGGCAACAAAGTGAGTCTCAAAAAAAAAAAAAATGTTATTCCTATATGTCCACTTAAGTGTTGATCAGTGAAACCAATTTTCTGGTGAGTACATGTGGTGCTTGTTTTTCCATTCTTGGGATATGTCAGTTAGTAGAATGGGTTCCAGCTCTGTCCAGGAAAATATAAGAGGTGCTATATAACCATTGTTTCTTATAGCCAAATAGTACTCCATGGTATACATATACCACATTTTATTAATCCACTCATGAATTGATGGGCACTTGGGTTGTTTCCACATTTTTGCCATTGTGAATTGTGCTGCTATAAAAATTCGAGTGCAGGTGTCTTTTTAATAGAGTGTCTTTTGTTCTTTTGGGTAGATGCCTAGTAATGGGATTGCTGGATCAAATGGTAGATCCACTTGTATTGCTTTAAGGTATCTCCATATTGCCGTATTGCTTTCCACAGAGGTTAAATTACTTTGCAGTCCCACCAGCAATGTAGGAGTGTTCCTATCTTTCCACATCCACGCCAACATTTATCATTTCGGGACTTGTTAATAAAGTCCATTCTCACTGGAGATAAGTGATATCTCATTGTGGTTTTGATTTGCAATTCCCTGATGGTTAGAGATGTTGAGCATTTTTTCATATGTTTGTTGTGGGCTGAATTCTTAACCTCTCTGTGCTTCGGACTCCTTATGT